GTCACAATCATATATATTGCACAGATAAGAAAATATATTTTTTTGAGCTGCCAAAATGACATAAGAGTCCAGAGAGGCGTGATAAGTCATAAGTGGCTGACTGGCACTTAAATGTAAATGAGTAAATAGATCAGCTACGTTCCACGAATAGACACGCTGAGTTAAATCTGGCCACAATGCCCACTGACATGCACAAGGGGAAACAAACACCTGCACAATAGGACTCCTTTCATTTGCAAAATTTCATCGCTGTCAATTCTTGAATGGCCCGTTCGCAAACTCAGGGTTTTTTGCTTTAGGTTTTTGATTTGCTTCCACTAAATTCAATTGACATTCTGTGTTGGCGCTAATAGCTGATCCGTCAATGAGGCCTTGCACATCCCCGGGGCTCGGGTCTGGTACGGATGACGGAAATTGGGCCATCTAATGTCCCATGTCAATACACAGGCGCCTAGAGCGTACTCTGCAGTGTGTCGTGGACGTTCGTCGTATCGAGATGGAAGCATCATCGCGTGGCGTCAGTATAACGCATATAACACATTCTCTGACCACTAGGATTAACTGACGCTCTCAGTCTTGATTACACATCTGCTGCGAAAGGAAATGCCCACCTGTTTCAGGTGGATCTAGTAGAAGCTCTGTTGCAACCGCCCTAATGGCTAGAGGACACTTGTTCCTTAGGTGCTGCACAATCTGATGGCTAATGAGCTAAGTGCACTGCGAGCAACCTGTCTTGCTCCAAAATGCGCCAAGCAGACGAAATATCTACTGGACATACACAAGGCTTTCAAGGTTTCACCTCCGCATGACGGGTGGTCAAGCTAGTAAAACTATAGGATCATACAATTGTTCAATTAGCCCCGCATCTACAAATTTGACGAGGCAGTCGATGATGCACCCAGTAAGAGGGAGGAAATTGGGTACATCACGTTTCACTACTAGTCCATCTCTTAAGCAATGGTGTGCGATATTAAGATAGCCGTTTGACGTCTCGATGTTGGTCAGGTTTTCCTTTGATCGAGCTCGAAGTCCCCTTTGAACTAACATGAGGGCTTGAGGTGTCGCTCTCATAAAGTCAGGACAACTCTCAGACACTGTATAGCGTCATTGCTGTTCTGCTCGGTGAACGGTAACGATTTGAACGTGGCCAGTCAGGTAATAACCTCACTGACAGGTTACATGGTCTTACAAACGATTCCTTCTCGACTCGCTTGACGAACTGAACAATTTGGCAATTGTTAGTAAGCTCAATTGCAAATGGGGGCATTTGCGACTCAGGACGGTAAAAAAAAAAGATTTTAGGCAACGCTTCCCCGGCACCAGTGACGTACAGCTGCCTGATACTGCCGCTAAACTGCTAGTACAAATTAACGTCATAAACCCCCCTGGGACTACTGCCGAGAAGTTCCACCGCTGACAATAAGATTTGCTCAAATCGGCTCATGTACGCCAGCCCGGCTTAACTGTCGTGAGTATGGGCACGGTCTGAGTGCTCTCGACTGGGATTTAATGAATACGTGGGCTAAAGTGTTTTGTGCATCAGCAGGCAAAATTATTATGCTCTTTGTGGTAGTAAAGTACAAATCACCCCGCAAGGATATTTAATACAGAGCTGTTTCACGATTTGCGTGCATGTCGCACATTTGCGAAAATGAATTGTGGACATTGCTATATCCATGAACCAGTAGAATTTGCTTTTATTTGCAATCATTTTCTAATCACAATGGCGCAAGTGCATGTAAATTGTAATAAAGCCAGACCAGGTTAGATGCTATAAGGACCGTCGGCACACGTAGTTCCATGTATAGCCAGCCGTTCCTTGGAGTTGGAGTTTGGGATGGCGAAA